TCGCAGCAGCAGGACATGTCCTCCGAGTACACGGGAGCCATCGGCGTGTGGTCCTCAGGGGTTCTCAGTAAACCCTAAACCCTAAACCCTAAACCCTAAGCCCTAAATCGTAACCCTAAACCCTAAACCCTCAAGGCCAGGATAAATAGAAATCGTACGTGTTTCATTACGAGCACCTGGTACAATAATCCTTGATGTAAAAAAGAAGCAAAGAAGTCCGAAAGATGCCCCAGCCCCAGCCCCCAGCCCCAGCCCCAGCCCCAGCCCAGCCCCAGCCCCAGCCCCAGCCCCAGCCCCAGCCCCAGCCCCAGCCCCAGCCCCAGCCCCAGCCCCAGCAGCAGCCCCAGACCCAGCCCCAGCCCCAGCCCCAGCCCCAGCCCCAGCCCCAGCCCCACAGCCCCAGCCGCACAGCCCCAGCCCCACAGCCCCAGCCCCACAGCCCCAGCCCCACAGCCCCAGCCCCACAACCCACCGCCGCAGCCCCACAACCCACAGCCCCAGCCCCACAGCCCCACCCAGCCCCCAGCCCATTTCCGGAAACCATATTTCAGCAAAAGCAAGAAAAACCCCACAACCCGTCAAAACCCCACAAAACCCGACAATTCCAAAATTCCGGAAACCAAACTTCAGCAGAAGCAAAAAACAAAACACCCCAAAACCCGGCAAAACCCGGCAAAACCCCCCCCCAAAACCCCCCAAACCCCCCCAAACCCCCCAAAACCCCCCAAAACCCCCCCAAACCCCCCCAAACCCCCCAAAACCCCCCAAAACCCCCCAAAACCCCCCAAAACCCCCCAAAACCCCCCAAAACTCCGGACAGAAACCCTAAACAATTTCTATAAATCCTAACCCTAAACCCGTCGCGGTTTTCCGGGGATCCCTGTTCCATTTTTTGTTGTTCAGGCTTCGGTCGCTCCTCTGACAAGTGGGTTCCCTGGTTTAGGGTTTAGGGTTTTGGGTTTAGGGTTTAGGGTTTAGGGTTTTGGGTTTAGAGATACTTCCCTCAGCTCGGGGGCTTTCAGGGCTTAGGGTTGAGGGTGCCAGCAAGGGCCCATCATTTCGCGCACAATGTCGCACAAGCCCTATAGCCCTATAGCCCTAAACCCTAAACCCTAATTACATCCCTAAGCCCCTCCCAAACCCCCAAACCAGCAATGGTTTCTCACAATGACCCAGAGGTCGGCACCTCTGCGTCGGGCGGACCTCTGTTCAAGGCGCCACGTAAACCCTGAATGTCACTTAGTCACAAGGAGTGTTGGGGTTTGAGGGGCTGAGGGTTTAGGGTTTCAGCCTTGAAGTTGCAATGCTGGACCCAGAAGAGAGCTCACAATTCAGCACACCCTGAAGCCGTAAACCTAATTCATCCCTTCTGGGGTTTTGAAGTGTAGAAGTTTAGGAGTTTGCTACTGTTGCTTAACAACCCCACCCCCCCCCCCCCCCCCCCCCCCCCCAAAAAAAAGAAAAAAAAGAGAAGTAGTTTAGGAGTTTTATGAGTTTAGAGCTCCGGGTTTTGGAGTTGAGGCCTCGGCTGGTGCACTCCCTAATAAGCCCTAAACCATAGACCCTAAACCCCTAACCCAACAACTCCAAAACCAAAAACCCCCAAACCCTAAACCCCGAACCCTAAACCCTAAACCCCAAGCCCCAAGCCCCACACCCTAAACCACGAACAGCTCCACGCTCCGCGCAAGGCACACGTCGTCTTCGACACCGGCAGCACGAACCTGTGGGTGGCGTCGGTGTTGTGCAAGGCGCTGCTTGAGGGTTTAGGGTTTAGAGTTTAGGGTTTAGGGTTTAGGGTTTAGGGTATTCCTAAACCCTAGCCCCCAGAAGCCACAAACCTTAAGACCCAAAACCCTAAGCCCGAAACCCCCGAATTCTGAACACCCAAGACCCCACACAATCCCATGATGTCACTTAGAACGTATGGTTCTCCCACACAGCCCCGCTATGCAAAACTGGAAGCCTCTTCTTATGTTACAAGGGAACGACTTGACTTTGCGCACACCCAAAGCCGCGAGTCGTAGATAAAGAACTGTCTGTTGATATCCCTACCCCTTATCCCCAAACCAGCTGTTCGGTTTCTGAGACTTGAAAAGGGACCCTTATGGCTACGTCGGGGACAGGTCTACCCTAAACCCTAAACCCTAAATACTAAACCCTGAACCCTAAACCTTACACCCTGAACCCTAAACCCTTAACCCTTTAACCCTAAACCTTAAACCCTAAACCCTTCGAGAACTGCCCATATGAGGTCTGGGCTTTCTTTTCAGGTCAGGCCTGGTTTTTTACCGGCGGCAAGTGGAAAGTTTCGTGCGGCCTGTGTGAGGTTTTTTGGCCTTTTGCAAGGTAGGGTCTAAATTTAGCCTACAACACATTTGAGGTATTGTCTTTTCATAACCCCGAAACCCTAACCCTAGACCCTAGACCCTAGACCCTAGACCCCAGACCCTAGACCGGGTCAGGGGATAGATGTGTTCTCGAAGAGGTCTCGCCCTGCAGCGAGGGCGGTGCATCTTTCTACGACCCCGCGCAGTCCGTGACGTCGGAGACGGGCTTAGGGTGTAGATCGTATTCATAGGGTTTAGGTTTTTGGGGTGGTGGTCTTGTTAAAGTAGGGTTTCTGTTTATTAGGGGCATTACATTCGGGGTTCTTATTGGGTATCTAGGGGCTATACTAAGGCATAAGGGTAACAGATAAAGAGGCCACCGGCCTTTATAAGGTTTAGGGTTTAGGGCAGCGTTGCGGTATAAAGTTATAAACCTCCAAAGGGATACCACTTCAAAGCCTAGCCCTAGGTCAAGATCCGGGCGCTGGGGTTTACGAGTTGAGGGGCTGAGGGTTTGCAGGCCATGTACTGTAGGGCTCGGAATTAAATACTCACAGTGTTCCCTCATAGTCCTTATATAATGATAGGATTTAGAGTTTAGGGTTTTTCAGGGGCCTAGGGGTTTAGGATTTGAGGTTTAGCGTTCAGGGTTTAGGGTCTAGGGCTTAGGGTTGGGATCTTTCAGAGTCACAGTGTCCATCGCATGCGCACATATCTTTCAGCATCACCTCAAATTACAGCAGTACATCATTTGGAGAACTGGCGGGGTGCATCCGGCTTCTGCGCCTCAGCTTTCCCTGTGAGCAGGGAAGCACTTAATGTGCGGCTCAATAGAGAAAGTATTCCGGCAGCTAAGCTTGGATGATTCTGCAGAAGTAGGGGATTCTACCTGGGACTTTGTGCCCTTGGGTTTGGGGACCATTTTCCAAGATCCTCTCAGGGAATATAAGGGCCATATGATTCGGAGTATATTCAGGGAAACCTTTAGGGCTACAACCTTAAGGGGTGCGAGTCTGAATCCCTTGATTAAGGGGATGGCCTTGGTGATAGGGCTCCGGTGGCACTCGTTTTGAGAAGATGTCCCTGAGGAGATGTACAAAGGGGGGCGAACCGACGACATCGACATCATGCGTGGGCCCCGCTGAGGGATCCTCCGAACCATGATTGGGATCTTCGGCTTTGCAGGTTTGAGGGCTTTGCGCATTGCCTGAAGAACCTCCCGACAGCTTAAGCCCTGAGCCCTGAGCCCTACGCCCTACGCCCAAAGCCCTAAGCCCTAAGCCCTAAGCCCTGAGCCCTAAACCCTAAACCCTAAACCCTAAACCCTAAACCCTAAACCCTAAACTCCAACTCTTGCTAGGGTTTTCGGGCGTGTGTTGGTTTAGCGGCTCGCGGGCTGCGGCTGCCTGGAGGGTGCTGGGTTTAGTAGATTAGGGGTTTAGGGTTTGGGGTTTAGGGTTTAGGGTTTGGGGTTTAGGGTTTGGGGTTTAGGGTTTAGGGTTTGGGGGTCAGGGTGAAGTTTCGGCCTGCGCCCCAAACCCTAACCCCGCCCCAGACCCCGCAAAAAACCCTTAAAAACCCCTAAAACCCCAAGCAAGTTTGCAGCCTCTGGAATTTTTGATCTTAGCGTTTAAACGGGATCAAACGGGTTTAAGCGGGTTTAGGGTTTAGTGTTTAGGGTTGAGGGTTGAGGTTCGTAGGAGGGACCTCATGCAGCTAAGCCGCGCCCAACAAAACCCTAAACCCTAAACCCTAAACCCTAAGCCCAAAACCCTAAACCCTAAACCCTAAACCCTAAACCCTAAACCCTAAACCCTAAACCCTAAACCCTCTTCAGCTCTCGGGGTCCCTTCTAAGGTTTGAGGGTTCCGCCCTCTGGTCTCTAAACCCTAAACCCTAGACCCTAAAACCCTAAACCCTAAACCCTAAACCCTAAACCCTAAACCCTAAACCCTAAACCCCAAAATCTAAACCCTAAACCCTAAGCCCCAAAAGAAAGCCCTAAACCTTAAACCCCAAACCCTAAACTCCACAACCCTAAACCCGAAACCGAATCGGAGCTTTCCGAGGTTTGGAACTGGGGAGCTGCGAGGCAGCGTCCTTGGTGTTGCGACATTCCTAGGGTGGGAGGGCTTGAGCCCGAGTCTTGGTTTAGGGTTTAGGGTTTTAGGGTTTTAGGGTTTAGGGTTTAGGGTTTAGGGTTTAGGGTTTAGGGTTTCCGGCAATCTAACAACCTTTGGTGGCTGCAGAAAATCTCCCGTGATACGCTTATCCACATTGTGTTGCGCGGACGGGGTGGATTCCCCTTAACCCTAAACTACTTCGTATTCCCATAAGTGGTCCCTATACAATTCTACTACAGTAACCCCCAGAACCCTATTGTAATTGTTTAGCCCCCTATGGTACACCCGAAGCGTCTCTTGTGCAAGCCGGTGTGCACGCGTGGCTCACGTCCGTCTTGTCACATCAAGAACTACTCAAGCGAGCCCTTACGAGCCCTGGGCCCTAGAACCCAAGCTGCTGCTGCCACAACCCTACAACACTCAACCCTGAAACCCGAAACCTCCAAAGCTCCCCTTGTTCTTAGTAAAGGAATGGGGGGAATTAGGGCCTTAGATACACCCTTTAAGGGTACCTCATTTTCCCTACTAAAAACCAGACCACAGCCCCATGGATCTCGCCGAATCCCTGGGCGTGCGCGACGCTGGGCGTGCTGGGCGTGGGGAAGCGTGGCTCGCCGGGGTGTCGCAGCTGATCGCTTGCCTGGATGAGGGCCTGCGCAAGGTGTGAGTTCAGGGGGTGTAGGATTACGTTTCGGGGGCGGGTTAGATTGTGGCTTGAGTAGTATTTTGTTGGGGCTGTTAGGACTGTTAGGAGCTACGGCTAAGGGGGTTTAGGGCTTAGGGGGTTCAGGGATGAAGCTTTGCAGAAAGAAGGAGCCCCGCGCACCTGGCGACTTCGAGCTCCTGGCGCAGCAGCTGCGCGGGCAGAGGCGCCGGGAGGCGGAGAAGGTGGTGGCCCAGCGGATGAAGTCCAGCCGGGCGGTGGCCGAGGCGCGCGGGGTCGCTGACGGCGGGTTCGGACGGGCGGGGGGGGGGGGGGAAGTTGTTTTTGGGATGGGCCTTGAACCTTAAACTTAAACTTCAACCTTGCCACCCAAAACCCCTAATTACGCCCCAAACCCTGCAATCCACATCCTTGTGTGCTTAGTGGCAACCTTGCCCTCTTGCAACTCTCGCCATCGGCCTCCGGGGTAGCTTTCAGGTTCCTCAACCTGAAGCATCAATGTTTCAGGGTCTTGGGCTCCTCTGGGCTCAGTGAAGATGCCTAAACCCTAAACCCTAAACCCGAAACCCTAATCCCTAAACCCTAGTGTAAACATGTAGGCAGAGAGCCTTCAGGCGCAGTCGGCTCTCGGACGCTTCCTGGACAAGCGGGCGGCCAGCGTGCAGGAGGCGAGCTGTGCGGCCTCGGACGCGCAGGGGAGGCTGCAGCGATTGCAGGAGCCAGAGTGACTTTAGGGTGTAATTAGGGTTTAGGGTTTAGGGTTTAGGGTCTAGGGTCTAGGGTCTAGGGTTTAGGGGTTCCAGGCCATATTATAGAGCCCAGGAAAACCGAATTTAGAGCGCCTCCCCAAACCTCAATCCCTTGAACCCTAAACCCTGAACCGATTTGGGTTTAGGGCTTAAGACGCGCGATAGAATCTCCATGTACATAAATAGTGTATATACGAGTATATATATATATATACACAGATATATATAGCTATATGTATAATATATATATATATATATATATAGTATATTTGTATTTATATCTTGATATATATATATATATATATTTATATTGCAGAGTCTGTTAAAGCCCTTGTCCAGGAGCAGAGCAACGGCGTTCGCGCGGTGGCACTGCGGAAGGCGCAGGCGCAGGTGGCGGATGTCGAGCAGCGGGCTCTGCATGAGGCCAGGGCGCGCAACGCCATGCTGCTCGGGTTTTTGACTGGTTTAGGGTTTAGGGTTTAGCCCTAAACCCTAAACCCTAAACCCCAAACCCTAAACCCTAAACCCTAAACCCTAAACCCTAAACCCTAAACCCTATCATTCATTTAGGGGCCTCCGGCTCAGGCCACTGCCGACCCAAGAGGCTGTCAAGCGGAAGACGCCTCCTCGCCCCCCCCCCCCCCCCCCCGCCCGTTTTACTCGAACCCCTACCCCTGCCAAGCTATAGGGTTTAGGGTTTTGGGTTTAGGGGTTAGGGTTAAACCCGAAACCCTGAACCTTAAACCCGAAACCCTACCCTACACCCTAAACCCTTTCTGATTGGGGTGGCTTCACCCCTTTGTGTTTTGGGTTGGGTTCCCTTACAAACGACCCCAAGCACGAAGCAAACCCTACTAGGTGTCCTTGCAGACCCCATGAGCCAAAGAAAAGACTCTTTTCCTAAACCCTACACCCTAAGCGCCTCATACCCTAAAGCCTGAACCCTAAATCTTAAACCCTCAACGCTGAAGCCTGAAACCTGAACCCATCCACAAACCAAGGTTGGATCGAAGGGAGTCGGAGATTCAGGCCCTGAAGCGGCAAACCGCGTCTTTGAGCCTTGGTTCTGAAGACTGGGTTTTTTGAGTTTAGGATTTTTTGGTCTCTTAGGGTTTCGGGTTTAGGGGTTAAAATTTAGGGTTTAGGGTTTAGGGTCTAGAGTTTAGGGTTGAGGGTTTAGGGTTTAGGGTTAACAAGCCCAGAGCCTTGTGCTTGCTAGGTTGCCTCTTTAGAAGCTTGCGAGGGCTAACAAAAACCCGCAAACTGCAAGGTGTTTTGGGCTAACCCCTAAACCCTAAAAAACCCTAAACCCTACACTCTACACCCTAAACCCTCCCCCTAAACCCTAAACCCTAAACCCTAAGCCCCAAAAGAAAGCCCTAAACCTTAAACCCCAAACCCTAAATCCTAAACCCTAAACCCTAAACCCTAAACCCTAAACCCTCCTAGGAGCACCGCCTGCAACGCCTGTTGCGGCGACCTGATGAACATCAGCCAGACGCTTGAGGCCGCGGCGAGCCAGGCTTCGGAGGTGAACCACGAGAGCCTGGGGCTGAAGGGTTTAGGGTTTAGGGTTTAGGGTTTAGGGTTTAGGGTTTAGGGTTTAGGGTTTAGGGTTTAGGGTTTAGGGTTTAGGGTTTAGGGTTTAGGGTTTAGGGGTCGAACGGTTTTTTGTTTCAGGGTTTGCTCTATTCCGGACTTTACAAGGAAAGAGTCTCTTTATGGCCTCAACCTGTTTACATTACAGGGCTTGAAAGGAGTTCATTTTTCCTAAAGGGTTTTCATGGGCTTAGTAGCCTGACGGAAGGTTGTTGTTTCGGATCGACCCAAACCTCTAGGGCCTTCCCACCCGGAGGAACGAGCAGAGTTTGAACCACGTTATAAGGGCAACCCTCAACCCTAAACCCTAAACCCTAAATCCTAAACACTAACCTGTTTCTACGGTGTGTTGTCTACAGTGAGTCTCAAGGCTGTGTCTGCATTGGTTATGCAGGGCTGTGAAAGGCTTTGTTTGTGCGCAAGGCACCCTAAACCCTAAACCCTAAACCCCGAACCCTAAACCGGGCTGATTTTCAAGCGCTTTGGTCGTTAATATCCGGTCAGGGTTTGCGAGGATTTTCGTTGCTCTAGAGCATGCGTAAAGGGCGTAGGGTTTAGGGTTTAGGGCTTTGGGCTTAGGGCTTAGGGTTTAGGGTTTAGGGTTTAGGGTTTAGGGAGTACATACTAGTATGTAGGGGTTTCACGACTGTTCTCACGACTGTTCAGGGGTTTCGGGGCTTTACGGTTTCCAAGGGTCGCTTGGCTTTTATGCGAAAGCCCGGGGCTATCCGGGATTCAGGATTTCGATGTTTTTTTTTTTTGGTTGGGCTGGGGGGGGGGGGGGGTGTTAGGGCTTTGTGGAGTTGTGGTAGGGCTTCTGGGGCTTTGGGCCTTGACCTGTATGTTTGTTGGTGCTTTGTTTTGGAGGATTCCATGTTTGGGGCGCTGTCGGTTTCGGCTTGTCGACATGTCTTGCTCAACCCTCAACCCTTCAGGGTTTAGGGTCGGGATGTTCCCCCTTCTACTAGCTGTCATCCCTAGTAAGAACTGTTAGTATAGTAAGAACTGTTAGTATAGGGTTTAGGGTTTAGGGTTTAGGGTTTAGGGTTTAGGGTTTAGGGTTTAGGGTTTAGGGTTTATTTAGGGTTTAGGGCTTAGGGTTTAGGATTTAGGGTCTAGGGTTTAGGGTTTAGGGTTTAGGGTTGCAGCTCATTGGCGCCTCAAGCCCAAACCCCAAACTGATTAGCAAAGGGCATTGAGGGCTTTAAGAACTTGAAGGGTTTTCAGGGCTTTGGGGCGTTAACGGTTTTGAGGGTTTTAAGGGCTTGAGGGGCTTTAAGGGCTTTAAGGAGATTAACTTTGCCATAGCGGGGTAACATTTTACATTTTTTAAGGGTACTTAAACTCAAGAAGGAATACAAGCTTAATGTTTTAATACTATCCCAACCATGAACTAGACAAGGGCTTTTCAGGGTTTCAACGGCCCTAAGCCCTAAACCCTAAGTCCTAAACCCTAAACCCTAAACCCTAAACCCTAAACCCTAAACCCTAAACCCTAAACCCTAAACCCTAAACCCTAAACCCTAAACCCTAAACCCCAGGAAGAGTCTGGTCCAGACGCGCTGCCTGAGACTGGATGCCAGGGAGGCGGCGCTTCAGACCATGGAAAGGGCCTGGAAGGAGGCGCGGGGGTTTGGGGCACCCTAAACCCTAAACCCTAAACCCTAAACCCTAAACCCTAAACCCTAAACCCTAAACCCTAAACCCTAAACCCTAAACCCTAAACCCTAAACCCTTATCATGGTTTGGGGCTCAAGGTGTAGGGTTTGGGTTTAGGGCTTGGCCTGTCTGGGTTTCTCATGGCTGATTAGCGCTTCGTGTCTGTGACCCTCTAGGCCCTAAACCCTAAACTCTGGACGGGTTGTACTATTTGCTTAAGAACCCCTCCCCCCCCCCCCCCCCCCAAAAAAAAAAACACACACAAAAAAAACACGAAAATGATCCCTATATTGTCCTGAGAAAGCAAGAATACTTATGTTTTTCTGGAAGGGGGGGGGGGTTCTTAAGCCAGTAGGAGGGTTAAGGTTGAGAGCTTGGAGGTTTCAGATTCGCCTCACCAGTCAGCCGTTGACAGGACGGTCTAGGGTTTGGGCAGAATGAGGGCCTGAGCGCCTTAAGCCCTAGACACTAAACCCTAAACCCGAAACTCGTGCAAAACCCGGAACCCAAACCTCAAGAATCATAGCGTTTTTGCTTGATTCTACAACATACAAGATCGCGGCCACAAATCTTCGCAAACTATGATGCGTCCGAAAACCACAAAAAAACCCTGTACTTCAAAAATTGAGAAAATCAGGACATCGTCGTTTTCCCTTGGAAAAACTACCAAAATACCTAAAAAGAAACCCTGCTACCGCGCATGTCGTTTCGCGGTGCGTTGCCTAGTTTAAGCCCTAAACCCTAAACCCCAAACCCCAAACCCTAAACCCCAAATCCTAAGCCCAAAACCCGCTAAAGCCCTGTACCGCAAATCTGGAAATGCAACCCTAAACCCCAAACCCTAAACCCTAAACCCTAAACCCTAAACCCCAAATTCCTGAAGAGGTCGCGCGGTCGAGCCCGATCTCGGCCAGAAGCCAGGCAAAGGCCTTGGACGCGGCCCGCGACCACCTCGTCCGCGCGCTCCTTCGGGACAAGGCTAGGGTTTGGGGTTTGGGGTTTGGGGTTTGGGGTTTAGGGTTTAGGGTTTAGGGTTTAGGGTGGGGTTTAGGCTTTAGGGTTTAGGGTGTGGGGTTTATTGGGCTTTAGGGTTTTCATGGTTTGTAGGGTTTATAGGGTTTATGGGGTTTATGGGGTTTTGGGGGTTTCTGGGGTTTAGGATGTAGCTTTTTGGGGGTGTAGGGTTTGCGGCTTTGGGGAGGGTTCTGATCGTGGGTCTTCATTCCACCCTTCATGTGGGTTTAGGGCTTAGGATCCAGATTTTCGGAATTAGGGTTTAGGATGTAGGGTTTAGGATTAGGATTTAGGGTTTCGCGTTAAGGGTACATCGAGGGGAGGAAGGCCGGGCAAAGGGGGGCAGGGCATTTGCAGTCGTCAGTGCCTAAACTACTAAACCCTAACCTACTAAACCGTAAACTCTAAACCTAAACCCAAAAATCCTAAACCCATCTCCAAACCCGAGAGAAACCCCTATACCCTAAGAAAAACCTTAACATGCCACTTGAGGTCTTCACGGGCAAGATGAACCAGCTCTTAGACGGGCTGCAGGAGGCCCGGGCATGGGTCACCTCTCCAAACATGTGGCCCCCCTTCTCAGGCTTGGCGGCCCAGTGGTACCCTGTACCCTTCTTTTTGTGTTCTGGGTTCCCTTGCAAAATTACCAACCCGCAAAAGTTGCCCTTATCAGAATATGGTTACTGGGCTACCAAGCCAGGTTTGATCATGGGGTTTTCGGGTACCCGAAATGTGGCTCCGGCATTGAAATCGGACAGTTTAGTGCCAAGCACGTTGTCGGGTAAGCCGGCAAGCTCTGAACCCAGCTTCGGGTTATGGACTTCGAGTTTGGAGGTTAGGGTTTGGGTTTCTCCTGCATCCTCAGCACCCCGGAGGAACACAGAAACTTGCCGCCCACAACTTTAACAGAATCCCCAGTCTCAACCCTAAACCCCTCAACCCCTAAACCCCTAAGTCCTAAACACCTAAACTCTCAAACAGCCCTCGCACTACCGCTACCTGAGACCTGAGAGGCATGCTACATACACCCAAGGCCCTGAACCTCTAGGGTTTAGGGTTTAGGGTTTAGGGTTTAGGGTTTAGGGTTTAGGGTTTAGGGTTTAGGGTTTAGGGTTTATCTTGTGACCCCAAGCCCCTGTAGAAGCGCCCCTCATGCAGAAGCCCCCCCCCCCCCCACCCTTGGAGACGCCAAACCCAAACCCCAAACACCCCCGACGCCTTCCAGGATCCTAACCCTAAACCCTAAACCTCGGTCCCCAAAATCTAAATCCGAAAAACTAAACCCTAAACCCTAAACCCTAAACCCTAAACCCTAAACCCTAAACCCTAAACCCTGAACCCTGAACCCTAAACCCTAAACCCTAAACCCTAAACCCTAAACCCTAAACCCTAAACCCTAAACCCTAAACCCTAAACCCTAACCCTGAAACCCTAAAACTCCAAAACGCACAGACCCTAAAACCCTAAACCCTTGAACACTTTACGGCAAGGCCTCGCCAGCCGCGAAGAACTTCCCCTCACCCGCCTCGGATCCCTCCAACGACCAAAGCCTCGGCCCTTCAGAGGCCCCTTAAGTGGATTTAGGGTTTAGGGTTTAGGGTTGAGGGATTAGGGTTAGAGGGAATTTGAGGGGTTTTGAGGGTTTTGAGATTTTGGGAGTTTGGGGTTTTGGGGTTTTGGGTTTTTTTCGGGTCTTAGGGTTTTAGGGGTTGGGCGTTTTAGATTGCAGGGTTTTAGGGTTGAGAGTTTAGCGTCGGAGTATAGGGTTTAGGGTTTAGAGCTTAGGGTTTGGGGTTCAGAATTTAGGGTTTAGGGATTGTTTGGAGTTTAATGCCAAAGGGTTGAGGGCTTGGGCAGAACAAATGCAGGGCTCGAGGGTAGTTCTCTAAATTCGGGCCTTTTTGGGTCCTGTGTAGTGTAGTACGGCCGTAAATAAGGACCCCCAAAAACCCCTAATGTAGAGAACTGCCCCGAAGCTTGGGGCTTGGGTTGAGTTTTCTTGGCATGCGTCGCATTTGCGTCTTCTTTGCCCTTGAGTTCGGGCTTAGAGAACCTAAGCTTGGGATGTTCCCCGTTATGCGAACAGACCTTAATAGGGATTATGGTAGCCCCCCTAAACCCCAAACCCTAAACCCCAAACCCTAAACCCTAAACCCTAAACCCTAAACCCTAAATCCTAAACCCTAAATCCTAAACCCTAAACCCTAAACCCTAAACCCTGCTCCAGGCTAAGGAGGAAGGCGCCAGTGCAGACTCCACCGCGGATGCCGGGGAGGGGAACCTAGGACTCACAGTAGGCCTTTATTTCGGTTTTTTAGGGTTTAGGTTCCCCTATAACCCTAAGCCCTAAACCCTAAACCCTAAACCCTAAACCCTAAACCCTGTATATTCCTAGGTTACTCCTGGGTCTAGGAACGAAAACCTCTCGGTCGTCTGGTCGCCGGTCAACGGCAGCGCAGCAAGCCAGGGAAAGGAGCGGGCGGGGTGGAATGAATTGGGGGTTTAGGGTTTAGGGTTTAGGGTTTAGGGTTTAGGGTTTAGGGTTTAGGGTTTAGGGTTTAGGGCTGTATTTTGTTCTTGAGATCAGTATTATCTTGCGACTTGCTTTATTGTCGTTTTAATTTTCCAGTTTTGTCATGGGCTTGTTGGAGGTTCGGGTTTAGTCTTTCCAGGTGCAGAGCTTGAGTCAGTGTTTATGGCGTTTTAGGGGCTGGAGGCTTTCAGGGCGCGGGGTTTAGGGTTTAGGGTTTCAGGCTGTAGGTCTTTGGCTTCATGGTTTGATTTGGGGCTGTAAGGATTGGTGTCTCGCCTACAGCTGCCCTTGAAACTTGTCCGTCAGGTTGCTTCTACCCTGAGGCCTACTACACCCTAAACCCCAAACCCTAAATTAACCCTAAGCTCTAAACCCTAAACCCTACGCGAGTTCGCGGGGTGCGCAGACACAGCTTTTAAGCACAGCACAGCAACACAAGAAGAACAAATGATGCCTGCTGGTCTGTCTGACTGTCTCTTCTGTATCGCCAATCTGTACAACGCGATTCTCAAAAACCTACTACTCGATGCGTATCTGTATCATCTGCAGTGAGCCATGCTGAGCTTGGCCATGCAAATCACATTCGAGCAGCAATGGTATCGGCATCGTTTGTAAGAGAGGGCAAAGTTGGGCGATCCAAGCTCGAAAGAGCTTAAGGCTCCCCCCCAAACACCCCCAACTGTCATGCCTGACACGGCCTGCCGGCCGTGCCAGGGGGCTGAAGGCTCTGTAGGAAACCACGCTCTCCCCCTGGCTGGATTCCAGCCAATCAGCGGTAGAACAGCTCAGTCCTTCCCTGAAACTGCATCCTCAGGAACGTTCTGCCATCTCTGCCTTCGGTCCAATCATCATCAATGATCTCTTGGGTGCCATCACGATAGACTGCCAAAAGTACGTCTGGCCCCTCTCAGCCGCCCCAACTCAATCGGAGTTCGGGTGCCACGAGGTGAGAACATTCTGATTCTAGGCTGGCAATGCCAACGAATCAGAACTCCAGGACGATTGCCTGGGGTGCTCCATTCATCTCGCCTGTAGTACTCGTTGGGAGGCAGCTGGTGGATGGCTGATTCGAGGCCCCCCCACGCAGACTGGTGCTGCTGGAGGAACTCCACTGTGGGCTGATTAGGAGCTGGTGGCCAATCATCTCTCAACCAAAAAGGATACTGATCAAGGTCTACCAGCCGCACAGCCCCTACCCGGAATAAGGCTTCTGCCTCACGGTGGATAGCGTGTGCAACCTCAATTGGAATGCCTTGAGGGCCGTTTTCGTTGTGAACCCCACCCATAGGCCTAGGCGGAACGCCGACGGCATGATTCTGCACCTGCGGCTCCCCGTCAGGTTCTTCGACATATACCCTCTGTCCTTGTCTTCGTCTCAAACCCTGCTCTCTCTCTCCCTCCTCTCTCTCAACCCGCCGCGCAAGCACAGCCACATCATCGACATACTGGAACTGAGCAATCACTTCCCCGAGTTGCTGCGTCTCATCACCTTCGTCAGCGGCCCATATCCCTCTACGAGCATCATGATCATCCTGGTCCCCAGGGTCCCTGACAATGACACCCTCTCGCTCACTGCGCTCAACATGTTCGTCCTCGGCATCCGGCTCACTCCTCTCTGACGGGCTCTGCTCTCCATCAGGCTCAACAGTGACTCTGCTCTCTGCCCCTCGTCTCTCAAGAACACGCCCAAACAAACGCCCACATCCCTTTACGGCTTCCCACATACAGATAGTCGTGCACACAACTAGGAAAAGCAACACACACAACTCCCAAGTCCCAGCGTGCCCGGAGATAGGCTCAGGTTCCTGAGCGTCTGCTGCAGCAATAGCTGCCGCCAAGACTGCCGCCCGAATCTGATTAGCAGACACTTCCATCAGAGCCTTGACCTTAGGTGCTTCAACCTCCTGGCGAGGCCCCTCTAAGAGACCCATTCCTGTCCGAAGCAATGACAGTCTAGGGAGGGGTAAGGATTTAGTTCCAGCATCTGAAACATTCTTTGCGCCCTCTATATGCACCACAGTCAGCGCTCCAGCCCTCACCTGCTCGCGAAGGACATGTGCCCGAATGCGGAGGTGCCTGGACCTCCAGTTGTTGGAGTCCCCATTTACGATTGCGATGCTCGCCATGTTGTCGTTAACCACTGTTAGCTGTGGCTCAGTGCCCAAGAACTCCCAAAGGATGTAAGTTTGGGCCCGGCCAAAGCAGAACCCCGACATCGTGCTGAGCAACTCCGCCTCAGCAGTGCTAGCTGCCGTAAACGGCTGCCTGGCAGTGATCCACCCAGTAAGGCTACCTTCTGTATACACATACACCGCTTCCTGGGATCGTTCGCACCCGGGCGCGAATGAGCTATCAGTCATGGCTTCAATCACCCCTTTTGAATCTACTGTTGTAGTCGCCCCCGGCTCACCCTGCCTGGCGTGCTCTGCCTTGTAGCGGAGACAAAGAAAGGTTTTGGGTCGTGACAAGATATCCCACTAGATGCAATGCATACACTTTCACCCTTGCAGGATTTTTCGTGATGAGCTGGGCCAATCTAGACACTGTAAAGATGGCATCTGGTCGCGTGCGGTACGCCACCCAAAGTGCTTCCCCTAGCGCCGCCTGACATGCTACAACGTCCTCAGCAGCATGCTCTGACGCCTCTTCAACTTCTATTCCACCGGGGCTAGCTGGGGTAAACACACGCGGGGCTTCCGGATATCTACTTGCCATATCTCGAATGTAGTCTGATTGACTCAACAGCAGATCGCGCCCGCTCCATCTCAGCTCAAACCCAAAAAACTTCAGCGGAGGGTCGGCGAGCGTTTCGGGGATGTATTCAACCTTCCCGCATTTCCATTTTTACGTGATCATGCCAAGCACTTGTTCCAAAAGCCCCTTTTTTGCAAACGCCAAAATGTCATCGACATAAACCAGCAAACACGCTCGCGGCTCTCTCCACTCATGCTCCTTGCCTGCCTCGGGCAGCGGGCGTAAGAACCACAAGTTTGAATCACACCGGCTCTGCTCAAACTTACAGGCAGTCCCCTGCACATGCACTACCATACTGGCTATTTCTACGTCCCTGGTGATCCCCCAGTCTCTAGGAGACTGGTCTATGCCATAGACTGCTCTCTGGACCAGCATGAACTGTTGCCGACTAAGGTGGCCATGTCGAGACACAATTCCCGGGACCTTCAGCACGATCACTTCTTCAGGGATCTCTTGGGACAACGGAGGCGGCTTAACACGGGGCTGATGTCTGTCAAGCAACTCTGCGTTTAGAAATGCCGTCTTTATGTCAGTAGCTCCCCCGGCCCATACCCTCTTTGTGGCAATAGACGCAACTTGACGAAGGACCCCTGGGTCGACCCCCCCGGCGTAGAGGCTAGCCCCATCCTTGTTCTTTTCCTGGCCCCCTAGGTGATTCCCACACGCAACCAAGCGAGCCTTGAATCTCCCCCCAGCCTTGCGCGTGCAAACAACCTTGCTAGGTATTACCGTCACCTTGGTTCCCTGGGCCTGGAGCCTCTCTAACTCAGCTGCGTCAATGACTTTAAGGGCCTTTTTCTCATGAACAAGTGAGTCCACCTCCTCCTGAACTGCATCAGCCCAAAGCTCACAGTGACGCTCAACCTCATCTAGCGGAACAGTATGTGTGGTGAGAACCTCCGCATCAGGCAGAAGGGAGTACTCTATGCAATCCGCCTTACAGCAACACTGCTCCAGACGACTGATGTCCTCCACAACACCTTCTAGATGTTGCAGCTCACTGTCGGGATACCCCCCTTTTCCCGCGATCTTACACTCGCGAGCAACCAGCGACTTCAACGCCAACTGCTGGAAATCAGGATCCTGCACAGCGTCGCCTCCAGCAACGCAGACCCTGTCGAAGCTACAGGCCTCAAGCTCCCCCGGACCTTCCAGGAACAGCCCACCGGCCCCATCACCCTCCAACCCCTCAAACTGACCAAGGATCAGAGCATCCAAAGCCGGACAACGTGAACCTCCACGATCCACCCTGTCACCATCCTGGCCACCTTCACGCGACCCTACAAAAGAATCGCCCCCACGAGCCCCCCACCCAGCGCTGACTGACCGGCCAAGGGGAGCTGGAAGCGATAAACTACCACTCGCATAGGAAAAAACGTCCCTCTCTGCAATCGAACACAAACCAATTGGATCTTTTGCACACGAAGGACACGAAGAATTGTGATACACAGCACAAGTTGACATTGCATCCTCAGCAACGTTGCACTCTACAGCTGGCCCACTCCACCTTACGCGCCTACTTTCTGACGCCTGGCGGGAGCCCCCTTTCCCACACTTCAGAATGCCCCTTTTCCATTCAGGGCCAGCACACTCACCCGGATCCCCACGACCCATATGACACACGAAATGCCCTTGACTCTCAACACCCCCGGCACTCTCTCGACCCTCACAGCGCTCTGAATCTCTATGACTCTCACTGCGCTCCAAGTCATGAGCATGTGCGGGCGAAAACTCGAGGACATGACCAGTACACGACACTTGAGGCGTCGGTTTTTGAACTTTTTGATCTATATGGAGGTCTCCCCCCTGCTGGTCATCACCAGCAGCACATACACCCGGTAGCCGAAACCCCGTACATTGCAAGCCTCGACGCTGCTCCGCAGTCGCCCTGCTGATACCTTTTAGGCTATACGCCACGAGCAGCACACGCGAACCCTCTTGCCAACCCTCTGTTGCGTGCCACTTGTGGGGGTCCAAGTAGCATGGTTGAAACGGCGTAAGAGATTGCACCTCCCCTGCCACCCGCATCTTGGGAGTAACCCATCGAGCATCATCCCCCAGCGCCCTCTCGACCCAGATCCCTCCCCCGGACGGCGGAACCCGAAGGGGTAAAATCAAGTTTGACACCGGCAGATTGTATGTATCCCTGTGCGGTTTGGCGCGGGTTTGATTCAGGATTGTGAGAGTAGTGAACTCATGCTTGGGATCGACAGCAGCAACCATACGAGCTAGCAACTTGGCAAAGCCTGGAAATCGCGCCCATTCCCGAGTCACTCCGGTCACCCCCCCATGCTGATAGAACCCCAAAACTCTTGCAAAGCCGCCCTCGTCAAGAACTCCCACCCTCGAGCGACCCGACGGAGACTGCAACCAGCTGGTGCCCAACAAGAACTGCGATGCCCGATCTAAGCAAAAATGCTCACTGGAGGCCAAGCCCCATGCTTGCTCATCTTCAGACAACACATCTTGAATCCTGGCAACATGCTCTCGAGCACTCTCTTCAGAACCCTTGGCGTCGGCCTCAGCTACTGCTGGCCTAACTCCTAGAGTGGTTTTGCCACGAACCCGAACGTCAGGATTAACTGCTCGCGTGCCTACCTTGGCCTTTTCGGGAGGAATCTCGAAGGAGTCTGGATCTACTGTCTGAAGGTCGGCAAACACACACGGAGTGTTTAAAAGCTCGCCCGCATCAGTCCTGACAAGATCGCCAGCTGACAACTCCCTAGAGGGACACAACAGCCTAGCCCCAACGACCCGCGACACCCACTCTCCTCGCTTATGGATGTGCCAGCTTCTCTGCAACACATGCACCTTCGCACCAAATGGCACGAGCCTTGGCACATTCCAGCCAAGCTTAGAGGCCTCAACGCGAAACCGCTCAGCACACGCGTGCCGAAGGGCGTATGGCCAATCTGGAATTGGGGTATCCATGTGGTGCATCAGCGTCCGCGCCTGGCCTTTCAAGATCCCAATTAGGTTCTCAGCAAATGGGTTAGCCCGAAACCGGTCCCCCCCCGTGTTGGTCTTGTGGATCCCTCTAGCGCGTGTCCACTCCCGCATCAGCTTGTTGCAAAATTCTCCCCCGGCATCGGTGTGCAGGCGTGCAACATTACACCCCATCGCCACCAATCTAGCCTCAATCCCCTTCACGGCATCAAGGACCTCCCGAGCCCCCTTTGTGCGGAGCATTGCCACAAACGGCAAGTGGACAAGCTCTAACTTTTTCATGGGTTGAGGTTCTTCCTCCTCCGGAGCCTGATCCTGCTCTTGAACTTCTACAGCCTCCTCCTCGGACTCTTCCACCTCCCAAGGACCCTCTTGTGGCAGGTCCCCAACCCCTGCACCTGGAACTTCCTCCGGATCTTCAAAAGGCTCAGCTCCTAGGAACCCGTTGAGCTCAGGAGACCGTGGGACAGAGAACACGGCTGCCAAGAAGTATCTGGCCCTACATCCCTCACTCATCCCCTCCTTGAACGGACCGGCCAAATCAAGGGATAGTGTGAAGCTCTCTGACACTTGGCTCCTAAAATGCGATGGTCGGCGTATTCTACCTGCCACACATGCATAGCAGTCCCGGCGATATGGGATGTGACCTGCCAAGACGTGATCCCGCATAGATTGGTCAATGCGCAACCGTCGAAGCTCCTCCACTTCCCGAACACACACCGCCCTTCTACTACATGAGTTGTCCAACGACTGACGGATAGCTTGACAAAGCCCATGTGACCATTTTGCCCACTCTTCGCTAGAGCCACGTTCTTGCTCATCACTAGCCCATCCCGGCCCCTTTAGATCCATAGCCCATCTGGGCCAGTACCCAGACACGCAGGCGACGGTCGTTGGCTTACGGCACACGTGACCCAACGGACCCTGATCTAGGGTGATGAGGCTCAGGCCTAAGAGCCTTCGAAGAGTTTCAAACTCAGCAGTGGTCCATAGCGTGGGATACGAGGCGTGACACTCACCAAACACTTCTTTGGGGTCTTGGGGGTTCTCAAGTATAAAGTTGAAACACCGCTCCTCTTCGGAATCAAGCGTGGAAAGACCCCATTTGGCCACTACCCCAAGCATGAACGTACGAATCATGAGCTGATCATCCTCCCAAACCTTCGCCTCCTCGCGCGCGGAGATCCCAGCCTTACCCCACCGCCCAGGGCCATCACGATCCCGAACGACTGGTGGGCCCTCACCCCGCCCCCTCAAGGCCGATCGAGTTCGACACGGAAACCCTGACAGGACTGCCTTCAGCTTCCCTCGGGCAGCAAGGCTTAAAATGTACGAATACGTCGAGGGGTCGTTCAGGTCTTCTTGGCTGTCTACTGCAAGGACAACCATCCCATGCTTAGCTGCAACCTCATCAAATGCTCTTCGTGAAGAGCCACAGCATAAGTGAAGTATCACTCCCTTGGCCATCTCGATGGAACGACGCTTCCTACGATTGAAGGCTCTAGGAGGTTGAGCTCCACTCGTGAGCCTCGACACCTCATCCAGCAGTTCACGGGGAGCTTCAGGGAACAAGGAAGAACACAGCACACGATGCCACACACACGCACCCTCTTTGTCTCGTCCCTCAATCCCGACCTTCAACCGACTTGCTGCCCCTTGCCAGACCTTGTCATGTACCCCAAGCTTTTGGACTCGTTCTGTATTCAGACCCTGGACACGAGCAATCTCAACTCTGTCAATCAGCTTCAAGGCGAGTTGACGGGTAACCCTCGGGCATCCACTCCGCACAGACACTGGAACAATGATACCTTGCTCATCGTGCAGCGTACAAGACCGCTTCGTCCAAACTAGCCTGAACCCTAGAGCTACAAGCTGTCTCAAGGACACTATCGGTTCAATGCTGTCCTCTGCCAGAAGAACCCCGCCAGCACTCACTCCAAGCTCAATTTCACCCTGGGCCAAACTAACCATCCTGCTGCCTACAGCTCTTTCTCCCTCACGTCTCTGCCGCATGGAGGTGGTAGCACCCGAATCAATGAGGCCAGTCTCTTCTCCCTCACCAGGCCTAGAAGGATAAGGGCTCTTATCTTCTATCATCTTGATGGATGACTGTATGGTATCAAGGACTGCGTTGGCCTTGGCCAACAGGTCATCACGGCTCGTTTTGCCAACGTCGGCAGTGGAACTACTCGCTCCGCCCTTACCCCCGCCCCCTTGACCCTTTCTAGCAGCTTCCTTAGCTCCCTCCTTCGATGGCTCACCCGCACCTTGTGACTGATGTTTGGCATGCGGGCATTCGGCCTTTCGATGGTTGACACTCGAACAAACAAAGCATCTTTTGTCAGAGGGCGTCAGAGCTGAGTGCACAAACCTGCACGCCTTACCGTAGCGGCAGCCATCATCCGTTTTCCAGAGTCTGCACACTGGGGTTTCTCCACTGCCCACACCCTTGGCTCCACCCTTGCCGTCCTTGGTACCCCCTTTTCCTTTCTGTTCATCGGCCCTAGCTACAGTTTGGCGCTTACCCTTGTCTGTCCCAGTAGAAAGCACCGCTTCTTCTGCTTCTGCCAACAACAGCTCAGAATATTGATACACCTTTTCTTGGGACGGCGACTGATCCAGCAACGCCTGAGTTCGGAAGGTCTGAATCCTGAAAGCTGCGGTGGAGGATAGTGGGGGAGCCAACAAATCCAACCCTCGGACCTGAAGGCTAGGGTCTGGTACGGAAAGCTTGAGCTCAAGGGCTCTAGCCAACCAACGCCTCCACTTACGGAGCGCCTTCACTGCCCCTGCACTTGTAGTAACCTGATCAGGGCCTACCAAGTACGAAAGGAGCTGTTGTTTTTCTGAGGTGCCCCCAGGCTGGAACTTGCACATCACCTTGAAGATTATAGCACAGGACCCCATCAATCTAAGAGAAATGATGTCGTCCTTTAGCTCTGAACCCACAGCCGACATCAGCATAGTCACCGCGCGTTGGTCTACTCTTGAGTACTTTCCACCCCGATATCGAGTAGCGAGGCTATCCACTTGAAGATGCAAGCGCTCTAGCGGGGATGAGTTTAGCCATCGGCTGTAATACTCGCGTGCGGTATCCATGACGTCATCCCAAAACTCAGTAGCCGTGGCCGACAGACATGTCATAGTGGGCACCAGGGACACCAACCAGTCTCCGGCAACTATAGCTGAAGTGGATGGGTCATACGCGCCCAATTTCGGAAGCTCAAGAGATACTCGGGTTGGCTCTTCAGGAACTCCCTTACTCCCTGGATGCTCTTTGCCGCTCAAGGACTTGAAAGCTTCAGGAATGGGAGGTGGTTGGGAGCTAGTAGTAGCCCACCCCAGGTTACCCCAATCTCCCCCAGTGGCTATGAAGGACGGACTACACCCCACAGCAGGCCCGGTCGTGGGAGCTGGCGGCGGAGGCCTAATCTCGGTTCCTCCAGGTGAGCATGGATAGACAATCTTAGCCGATGCGACTCCCGATGGCGAACTTCGAGCAAACGCGGAACCTGACTGAGGACCAGAACCTGGCTTGAAATCGCGACGCTGAGTACCTGACTGACCCGGAGAACCCGAAGACTGCGCCCGTTTCGGACTACTACGGCTACGAGGAGTGGCCTTAGCGACGTTACGCGTTCTCGACTCGATCTCTGGGCTAGTGGCCTGGAAAGGTGACAGAGCTCTAGGGTCAAACACACTGACTCTCTCGCTCCCTCTCCCCCTCGTCTCAGTCTCCCCTCGCTGCTCAAGCGGGACTAGCTGTAATCCTTCTTGCGTAACACGCCAGGCATATCGAACTCCCCCAACCTCCGTAAACCCCCCAGCCAAGACCTGTGGAGCAATGGCAGGGCCTTCGGGCACTGGCTGAACGGCTGGCGGCTGGCAGATTAGATGTACTCGGATCCACCACCTGCCCCCTCTCAGCCCGTCTGCTGCCTTCGGCCGCGCTAGCGTCTCCCATCCGGTGTATCGTCGGTTTGACAATGTCCACCTTGTCTCCACCAGAGTTTCTGGACTGAGCATCCAAGTTCACCGCATCCTGCGATGACAGGTTCAACGTTTCCATCTGGCTTGCTACGTCACCAACAACGCCCTGAGGCGAAGTTGCCAAGCGGCCAGGCTCTTGTTCCAGTCTTTCCAATCTTGAAGCCATTGTCGCCTGTTCAACCATCATTCGGTCCAAGGCAGGCACAACATGACACTGGATTGTTTGCTGCATCATTGTGCTCATTTGACCAAACATCTCGGCAATCATATCCTGGCCTAGGATCTGAACTTGACTAGGCTGACCAGTCGTAGCACCATCAGAGCTATCACGTGGTTCTGTCTGCCTGGAACGCATTCCCCCGTCCGGGATCAACTCATCCTCATCACCACCAGGTCCACGTCCTCGCCCCCTAACATCAGTCTTGGCTCGCCTGGTCGACACACTCCCACCATCAGGAGAACTTTCCACCTGGACTCGCGCGGCGGTTTGATCATCATCTGACACTACCATCAGCGCATCCAGGGCCCCTGGGCCAAGCCCGAACAACCGGCCATCACTAGCGACTGCAGTGGGGATGGGGCGATCATAAGGAGGATCAACTTCGGATTCCTCCTCTTCCTGTGACGGGTGCCCCGTCCTGTCGGGCGACTCCTGCGCTTCACGGAACTCCTCTTCGAGGGCCCCTGCGAGATCAGAATCGCTTTCCGTTGCCATGTCTATAGCGTTGGGCTCATGACCCGCGAGTTCGCGGGGTGCGCAGACACAGCTTTTAAGCACAGCACAGCAACACAAGAAGAACAAATGATGCCTGCTGGTCTGTCTGACTGTCTCTTCTGTATCGCCAATCTGTACAACGCGATTCTCAAAAACCTACTACTCGATGCGTATCTGTATCATCTGCAGTGAGCCATGCTGAGCTTGGCCATGCAAATCACATTCGAGCAGCAATGGTATCGGCATCGTTTGTAAGAGAGGGCAAAGTTGGGCGATCCAAGCTCGAAAGAGCTTAAGGCTCCCCCCCAAACACCCCCAACTGTCATGCCTGACACGGCCTGCCGGCCGTGCCAGGGGGCTGAAGGCTCTGTAGGCGCCGCACCTGGGAAACCACGCTCCCTAAACCCTCAACCCTCAACCCTCAACCCTTAAACCTCAACCCTCAACCCTCAACCCTAAACCCGAACCCTAAACCCTGAAGCCGAAGGCAAACTAGTCTTGCACTTTGGTCCAAACGGTGTCTGCCCTCAAGCCGGCAAGCCCTAACATCCGACCCCTTTTAGCCCCCTACTCTCAACCCACCCTAAACCCTAAACCCTAATCCCTGAACCCTAAAACTGCAATATTACTACTTTTTGAGCCGACACCTAAATTTCCAAACCCCAGAAACCCAACAAACCCTTCTGTTTACCCCCCAGCCCCCAACCCTAAACCCCACGCTTGCTCCGAAAGAACCCTCTCCAAACCAAAGTTCTAGCATTTTACTAAGACAATCTGCCCGAAACCCCCAAAACCCTAAACCTGACACAGTAGCCCTAAATCCTAACCCTAAACCCTAAACCTTAAAGTGTTGGGCCCTCTGTGGAGGAGTCTACTACCTTGGCGGGCCTCCTGGTGGACGCGCAGCCCACAGACCACGGGGAGGAGACGGACAGGAACAGGCCTTTCCTTGGAGTTTAGAAAGGGTTTAGGGTTTAGGTCTTGGGGTTTCGGGTTAAGGGCTTAGGGTTTAAGGTTTAGGCTTCAGGGTTTAGGGCTTAGGGTTTAGGGTTTAGGGGGCCAGCCTGGCCCTAAACCGCAAACCCCTAACCCGAAGCCCTGAACCCTAATTGGTAGCATGGGACATGCTTTGCACACATCGCTTTTCAAGCCTCCCGCAATTCCCTAAACCCTACACCCGTAAAACCAAACCCTAAACCCTAAACCCTAAACCCTAAACCCCTAAACCCCTAAAACCCTAAACCCTAAACCCTAAACCCTACCCCTAACCCCTAAACCCGAAACCCTCAACCCTCAACCCTCAACCCTCAACCCTAAACCCTAAACCCTAAACCCTAAACCCTAAACCCTCAACCCTAAACCCTAAACCCTATCAACAGTCCTGAAGGTCCCCAGAGAAGTCGCCGGTTCCTCGGTCAGTGACCGCACCGCCCCGGCGCCTCGGCCGGTGGCCCTCCTCGAAGTCCCTGACGCGGATGAGGTCTCCCACGCCACCGGGAGAGAATCGCAGGGCCTGTTAGGGGTTTGGGGTTTGACGGGGGTTTAGGGTTTAGGGTTTGGGGGGGTTTTGGGGTTTAGGGTTTAGAGTTGAGGTTTAGGGTTTGAGGGCTTTTATGGGTTTTGGGGTTTAGGGTTTTGGGGTTTGGGGTTTGAGGTTTAGGGTTTGAGGGCCTTTAGAGTTTTGCGGTTTCTGGTTTTTCGGGTTTAGGCGGGGCTTTGGGTTTTAGGAGGTGAGGGTTCAAACTTTTTTAGGCGACCTAAGTCTCATTTAAGGGGGGACGCATGGGTACTGCTTGACGATCCGGACATCGAGGCGCATCGTGGTGCAGACGCTGCCTCCAGCCCGACTCCAACCACTTGGAAGCGATACCCCCAAAACTCCCGTCACGGTCGCGCGGCACTACTCGCAGTCGCAGCCGCTTTCTGCCACACTGCCGCTGCAGGTGGTCATCTAAACCCTAAACCCTAAATCCTAGACCCTAAACCCTAAATCCTAAACCCGAAACCCGAAACCCCGAAAACCCTAAACCCTAAACCCTCAACCCTCAACCCGAAACCCGAAACCCGAAACCCGAACCCTAAAAACCCCTGCAGGTGGTCATTGCTCACGAGCGTGCCTGTAAGAGTCCAGTCCGTGAGAGCCATGAGCGTGCAGAGCCGGTGAGGTTCATCTCCGCAAGTGGGAATGTTGCGGCTCACGAGCGAGGTCGCAAGAACGTCGGTCGTGAGACTCTTGGAGAGCACGTGGAAACTGTAAGGTTCATATCTGCAAGTGGCAGCCATGCCAGGGAGCTCTCACTGGAGAAGCCTGCCAGGCCTGCTCCCCCTCCACAGTCAGTCCGCCAAGCCACCTACCGAGCAACTTCATCGGAGAGGCAGCCCAAGACCCCACAAATGCCTTGCAGAACCTCGCAGCCACGATACCAATACTCCCCGCAACCTCGGCAGACACATCAAGTCATACAGCCGCAGCAGCCGCAGCAGCCGGCACAGCAGCCGGCGCAGCCGCTGGCGCAGTCTCCGCCGCGGTATCAACTTCTTGCCCACCAGCAGTCGCCGCAGCCCCGCGTGCAGTACTTCAATCCGGCAAGCTACGCTCAGACAGCGCCCATGGTGGTACCACGCCTGCCAGGAACGAATTTGACTGTTCTTCCTCCGCAGACGGTGGTGTGGCCCGGGCAGCCACGAAGAGAGTGATGTAGTTTCTGACGCATGCTGCTGCTGACGCAAAAGTGCGTCACCTTCCAGCCCTCGAATCCCCTCCCCCTAATATTAAACCTCCCTACCCCCTAAAAACACATACGCCAATATCTAGTATATGGGGAGTAATTCGATTACGGGGTAGTGGTGGGGCGGGGGTTAAATATTCGGGGTAGGGGACTAACACTACCCGAGCAGGGTACAATAGACACGATGTTTTCTAAACCATAAACCCTGAACCCTAGACCCTAAACCCTAAACCCTAAACCCTAAACCCTAAACCCTAAACCCTACACCCTGAACCCTAAGCACAGTTCCAACCCAAGGCTCTTCTTTCCCTTTCAAAGAGTCGAGGCACTGAGCTGTGGTAGGCTTCAAGTTTTTGTCTTTTTTAGTTCAATAATATTGCTTTTCTACGGTTTGGGGTTTGGGGTTTGGGATTTGGGGTTTGGGGTTTGGGGTTTGGGGTTTGGTGGTTGGGGGTTGGGGGTTGGGGGTTGGGGGTTGGGGGTTGGGGGTTGGGGGTTGTGTGTGTGTGTGTGTGTGTGTGTGTGTGTGTGTGTGTGTGTGTGTGTGTGTTTTTGTTTTGTTGTTGGTTTTTGTCTTGGGGGGTTCGGGCTTTTCAGGTTGTCCTTTTTCTGCGTGGTTGAGTATTTGGTCCGGGGTGCTCCGAAACGGCCACCCCCGAGAATCGAAGGCCTTCAGTTGTAGGAAGATTCCGTGCCCTCTAAACCCGAAGTCCTAAACCCTAAACCCCAGAGTGCAGAGGGAACACGTGGTGTGCTTGGGGGGGAGGGGGGGGGAGGGGGGGGGGTGGGGGGCGGGGGGTGGGGGCGGGGGGGGGCGGGGGGTGGGGGGCGGGGGGTGGGGGGCGGGGTAGATGGTTTGGTGTTTGGGGGGTTTAGGGTTTATGGTTTAGGGGACTTAGGAGTTCAGGGATTTCGGGGTTTTGGCTTTAGGGGTTTGGGGTTTGGGTGGGTTGAGGGTTTGGGTTTCTGGATGCTGGAGTTTTGTCGGCCGTGTCTTGAAGCAAGGCCCGTTGCATGTGGACACCTACAGAGTGGGCCCAATGGAGGTGGACCAGCAACTGGGCTGCTCCACTCGCAAGAACAACATTGGAATGTTCCCCCTTATACTAGCATTCCTTAATCGGGATTTTCATAGGGGTGCGATAATCCCCATTACGGACTGCTAGTTTTGGGGGGAACGTCCCAAGAACCAGTATCTTGCGTTATGATCATGATCATGACAGTGTCGTATTCCATGTATGAATCGGCGGATAACAAGAAACGAGCCGAAATATATTGGTATTGCAATTGAGATTTCCTTCACCTAAAATTGGATCTAAAACGTTGTTATAATTCAAGTTATAATCATGGTCGTAGCAGACTAGAAGTTTTGTTTGGAAACGGTTCCAAGAATTTAGTCGTCATAGTTGTGGTGATGGAGAAGCAATCTCTTCAATTACGGACGCGAATTGGGCTTACATAGGACTCGGGGTTAGAAGAGCTTGGGTCACCTTCGTCCCCGAGTCCGTGGCAAAACAGGAAGCACTTGCTTCCGGGACACTCTTTGTCTAGTGCTGCACGAACTCTAAACCAACAACCCTCACCCTAAAGCCTAAAGCCGAAACCCCCAAGCTCTCAATCCACACATGCACGAGACCTCCCGGACTTCTGGTGGTGTGGGGGGAAGGGGGGGTAAAGAGGGGGAAATGGCAATGGAACCGAGGCAACCATTCGCCATGATCCGGGACCGGGCTTCTTGCAAGGGGCTCTTGCTTGGTTTGGAGTTTAGGTTGGGTTAAGCGTTTAGGGTCTTCAAGGCATACGGGCTAAACCCTACAAATGCGCCGCATCAATCGTTTAGGGTTTAGGATTCAGGTTTCAGGGTTCAGGGTTTAGGGATTAGGGTTCCCTAAACCTCAACCCTCAACCCAAACGCCTGAACCCTAAGACTTCAACAAACCTCTGAACCCTAAGGCCTTGATCCGAAGTCTGACTTCGGACGTCCAGTACTGGATGCGCTTGTTCTCCCTTCTGGATCCCTGTATAAACCCATTTCAACCGAAAATAGGCACTCTCGTCATCCCGGTTCACCGTGTATGTAATAAGCCCTTTAAACCCTACTAAGTTCCCGAGCTCGCTATATCAACCCCCCAACCCCCCAACCCCCAAACCCTCCAAACCCCAAACCCTGAACCCTGAACCCTACCCAAACCCCCCAAACCCCCCAAAACCCCCCAAACCCCCCAAAACCCCCCAAACCCCCCCAAACCCCCCAAAACCCCCCCAGAACCCCCCCAAAACCCCCCGCCAAAACCCCCCAAACTTTGAGGAGATGAGTGGGGAGGTGTTTGCCTCCTTCGCCTTCGAAGGCCCTGTAGCATTGTGTTGGGGGGCGGAAGAGGATCTAGGGTGCAGGGGTTAGAGCTTAGGATTTAGGCTTGAAATGGGTGTCTTTTATTCTTTTTTTTGTTCTTCTTCTTCTTCTTTTCTGCTTCTTCTTCTTCTTCTTCTTTTGATTCTTCTTGTTCTTCTTCTTTCTTTTCTCCATCCACCCGAAAAAGCGTTCCAAGCCTTATCCTGGACCTTGTTTCGTTTTATGCCCCAGAGTCCCTCAATGGTCCTACGGTTTCTATTGTCGCGTCTGCATGCTTCGTGCAGGGCGCCCTGTGATCAAGGCTCTTTTGTGGAAAGCTTACTAAGGCTGCAGACACGTTCACCTTGCTGCCTGTACTGCTGTGAAGTCTACAACATACAGGTTGCACCTGTTCGTATTGAATCTTCTGCTGAGTGTAACATGCACGGCTTCCACCTGCATAACCTGCGCTAAGGGGGTAGGTCTGAGGTGGCGGGGGGGGGGAGGGAGGAGAGGAGGACAACGTGAGAAGCAAAGCCAGGTCCGCATTTTTCACAGCACCCGGGCAGTCGTCATGTTTGCGGGAGGGGGGAGGTGGGTTGCGAAGACCCCCCAACCCCACCTTCCCCCGCTCTTTTGGAAAGGTAAGCACTCCAAAAAGGGTTGTATCCGGCTTATTGCAAACCTCACAACAGAGCACCCAGCAAGGCACACAGATGTCGCTAGTTTTTCGCCCCATTCAGAACCCTGACCCCCTAAACTCTCTTATTCCTGGTACAAGTGAGAAGGTTTTGTTCCCCCAATACTAGATCAGTGTTAGGGATCCTTTTTACTTTTTGGGTTATGGGCTTTCTTATATATGAACAAAACGGATCCTTTTTTTCTTCCTAAGGGAACAGGGATTAAGAATACATAATGAAGATACATGCATATATTATCCAGAACACCTACTCTAAGCCCTAAACCCTAAACCCTAAACCCTAAACCCCAAACCCTAAACCCTAAACCCTAAACCCTAAACCCTAAACCCTAAACCCTATGTCAGGCATTTTGGGTCTGGCGTTCCCTTCGCTTTCCTTCGGCGGGATCGAGCCGTTCTTCGCGCCATGGCTTAGTCCAAGCTGGTGGGACGGGGTTCCGGTGCAGTTTAGGGGCCAAACCCTAAACCCTAAACCCTAAACCCTAAACCCTGAACCCTAAACCCTAAACCCTAAACCCTAAACCCTAAGGTTCCGGGTTTAGGTTTAGGGTCTCGGGTTTAGGGTTTACAGCTAGGGCTTTGGGGAGTTTAGGGTTGAGGGGGGGTTAGGGGTACTAGGACCAGGACGGTTTCGGAACGTCGGGGGTATGGGAGTGTGGGACAGGAAGCCGTTGAACATGTCGGGTTCAGGGTTTAGGGTTTTGCCACTCTTACACTCAAGGGATTAAGAGTCGTACCCCCAAAGGTTGTGCCCCCAAAGGTTCCCCTGGCCCTTCAACTACCTTCGGGATCTCAAGTAGTCCCGAAAACCCAAGGGTACAACCTTAAGGGTCCAAGCCTCAACCCCTAGATACACGTTTCATGGTGGCGGAATTTTGGCTCTCTTCACCCTGGTCTGAGTTTTGTGATAATGCAGGGCCAATGTAGGGTCTAACTTAGGGTTCAGGGTTTATAATTTAGGGTTCAGGGTCTACAATTTGCGGCTTGGGGGCTTATACTTCGGGATCTACAAGTCAGAGTTTGAATTAGGGGTTTAGAGTTTTCGGAACCTTAAACCCTAAACCATAAACCCCAAACCCAAAGGCCCCGTGAATGTGGCTGTGATTTAGGGGTTGGGGTTGATAATTTAGGGTTTAGGCTTTACAGTTCAAGCTTCAGGGCTTCTGGCATATGCACCTGCTTGGGGCCGGTCTTTTTGGGGTGGCAGGATGGCCTGTCCAAAGGTTTAGGGTTTAGGGTTTAGGGTTTAGGGTTTAGGGTTTAGGGTTTAGGGTTTAGGGTTTAGGGTTTAGGGTTTATAAGCCCCTGAGGTGTGATCCTTGTGTGGCCTTGGGGCATCCTGAGCCGCATACTACAAGCCCTAAGCCCTAAACCCTAAACCCTAAACCCTGCACCCTAAACCCTAAACCCTAAACCCTAAACCATAAACCCTAAACCCTAAATCCTAAATCCTAAACCCAGCCCTAAACCGCTAAGCCCTAATCCCCAAACCCTAGAAATCCACCCAGGAGCGCGTGATCCGGAAGAAGTGCCCCTGCCATGTCCGGGAGCGGTGCACTGTGTCCGGGTTTAGGGTTTAGAGTTTATGTTTAGGGTTTGGGAGTTTAGGAATTCAGGAGTTTAGGGAGCTTAGGAGTTCAGGAGTTCAGGGAGTTTGGGAGTTTAGGAGTTTAGGAGTTTGGGAGTTCAGGGTTTGTAGGGTCGCCTTATGAGTCTGGCTAGCGGCTGTAGATGATGTGGACCCCGGCCGTACTGTTCGTAGAAGGACTGGGAGGGTCCGGGAAGGACTTCGGGGGGGGGGGGGGGGGGGTCCATCGAAAATGCCTGATGAGCTCTCTGCTGGAGAATCGCCAGCAGGCCTGCGACCGGAAGCCCTTCATGTGATAGTGACGACAAGAACGATGCTGCAAAGCCACAGAAGAAGTCCAAGCCCACC